AATTTAATTTTAAGACTAATTTATCATTCTTTCTTATGATTAGGAATTGCTTTAACAACTGTGCAAGGATTCTTTCATGGGCTTTGATAATTTCATTGTTTTTTGACATCAAAGTTTTATATAGTTCTTATTCCCAAAGTTTTTATAAATAATGACTACTGAATTAGATTCTGCCTCAAGTGTAAAAACTGCTGAATTACTTGATATTATTTGAAAAACAGTCTTTGATGCATTTTCTTCTAGTGCCTTTATTAATGAAATGGACATTTTAAAAGTGAATAGACGTGAAATAAAATTATCTGTTTAGAAAGGGAAAAAATTAAACATGCTAAATTGAATATATGTCATGTATTTTTTCCATCAACAAAATTTAAGAAAACAACTACTAGAAGAAGAACTTACAGGATTCACTTGATGAGCTTTTTATTTTATTATCTTCCGCCATTTTGTATTTGTTAGCCTTTAGATAGTATCCAGTTTCTTGATAACTACCTAAGACTTTGTGAAAGAAGTTTGATGATTCCTTTGTGCTATACAAAAAATCCAGCCTGCTGTTACTGAGCATTTGTGTACTGAAAAAAGGATCGGAAGCTGTCCTCCATTGATTAGGCACACTGCAAGTTCACTTACATTATACATTACTGCACCAGAAGAGTCATGAAAGGGTTCTTTGAATCTGAAGTTATAGCCTGTTACTTATCTAAAGTAATTTACTCTGGTAAAACAGTATAAGATTACAGCATATAATAGTGAACATCTAAAATCTAAAATTGATCTTAAAGTGAACACTGGCAATTAAAAAGTACTTGTCAAGACTTATCTAAATCACATATTTTTTTTATTCTTCCAGAAAAGAATGCTTCTGGGTTTTTTTTGTTCTGCTATAATTGGAGCAATAAGATAGTGAAGTGGTATGTATAAAATACCCTAAGATGCATTTAAAAATAAAAGGGGAAAATCATATTAATTGAAATATATATGAGCCATTAGAGGATGAGAAGAAGGAATAACTTGAGCTGTCACTCTACTATTTTTCCTAGTACTATACACATGTGGATTTTAAAATTGTATTTATTTATTTGGGAAATCTAAAAGCTGCCCTAGTCAGTCATGACTCTGGGTGGTTTAAAAAGTGCGTAGTGAGGGAGTTAAAAGCAAAAAAGCCTTTTTTGCTAAAAGAGAAAGTTCAGCAAAAAGTGAATAACCACTCAAAAGACCATCTTCACTTTCAACTGGTAATTTGCATATTCCATAGTAATAGTTCAGTGAGTGCATTTGTGTCTGTCCAAAGCTACATATAGCTTTTTATGATTATTACTAAAAATATCAAAATGTACAGATAATTACTTTATCGCTCAATTTTAGCCTCTCTTTCTCCTTTAGTTCCATAGCAAACCGTGAGATTGGTCAGCCTAGAAGATCCCAAATTGCAAAGATTTCTGCCCAAGCAGGAGTTGATTCACATTCTTACATTTTTATTAAATCTAATTGATAAAGCAGTGATACTAATTAATACAGAATATATTGTATAAAAACTGTCCAGCCCTAATAAAACACCTACATGTCTTATTCATAAAGAAGACATAGAACTGGGCTCCATGGCATGGGATCACCCTAGCTGAGGGATCAGTCTTCCCAGCTACCGTCAGCCCATCCCGTTAGATCTGGCAAAGAAGGTATTCTGAGGTTATATCAGCCAAAAACAACATTTGGGAGAGGAAGGCAGGAGACATGCCTTCTCTGCCATGGTGCTTGCCTTATTGAACATTCCCTTCCCCACTCCAAAATTAGATGAGCTCCATGCCTTTGATATTCTGGAAGATCCTCAAAATCTGGTTATGTTATCTGGTCTGG